AAAAAGAGAACTATCAAAACAAACAAACACACCAGCCGTACATGTATTTCAAGACAAATAAACGCAAAAACGCGAGACCAAACAAACAATAAATCAACCGGAACAAAAAACGCATTATGTTTAGTACAATGGTGAACACAATTTTTGAGGTCTTTGTATGTTCTTCCGTGTATGCATGTGCGTGACAGTAGATTTTTCTCTGGTCGCCCTCTACTCTTCTCAGTTCATAGTTTATTTTTAATATTGCAAATGCGAGGCACAGAAAATCAATGGACAACAAACCCTCACGGCCTCAAGTGTCTATACAACGGTGACACAGTCAAACGACGGTTGGCGCCCGCTTTCCGGTTGGTTGTCGGAAGTCGGCTACATCGACGACGGGTCAAAATTGAGGCAGGTCGAAGGAGTTCGTCGGGAGTTTTTGCAGCAAGGGTAAATACTATAATCGTCAGAATCTCGATTCTCTTTAACAGAATCTTAAGTCTCTTCGCCGGAATATCAATTTTAATTTTAAGGTGAGTTTATATGTATTTTGGTTTTAATACTTTTACAATTTAGCGAAAAATTATTCGTGTTGATGCGTTAGGATTTCTTTGGATTAATTTTTTTAAATAATTTTAATACTTTTACAATATTCTATATTTAATTTCATGTTGAGAGTTTGCACTCTTGGTTTGGGTGGTACAAATTTTATTCTCAGAAAATGACTAATTGAAATGTGTGGATCGAAACAGAGAAGACCGTTGGCCCGAGAAGGAAGATGGTTACAGAGAGGCTGGTCAGGATTTTTGGGTGAGTACAAATCAATTTTTGGAACCTTAAAACATGATTAGTTTTATAAATTGATTTGTTTTAGTTTATGGTTTGACCCATATTTTTTTTCTATTTTAATTTGATGCAGACCTACAAATTCCTCTCTCTCTCTCTCTCTCTCTCTCTCCACTTATCTATCTCCACTCACCGGCTAGGGCCGACGCCGACGCCGCCTCACAGAGTTCACAATTCACAGGTTGTTGTTCTTTCTCTTCCTCCTCGCCGCGCATCGTCTTGGAGCGTCCCATCCACAGCCGTCTAATGCCAAGCCCCTGGCTCCTAAAACTGTGGTACTCGGTCGGCTTCAGCTTTGATCAAGGGCTCGGTCCCATCAAGGTGATTCAAAGCTCTTTTTAAGGTTTCAATATGCTAAGGTTTGGGCAAATTAGAAAATCTTTGTGTGCTTGGGTATGGATCCATGGTTTACTAATTACATCTTCATACTTGCTTATGATTTATGTTTTCAAAAATCTGGTGCTTCATTTGCACATGTCAGCCACCATACACTGCGCCCTTTGCCAGCGCGGAGGCCATTCCCATCCTCCAGCGCTCGATGGAGATACCCAGTATCGAGGGTGGCCCAGACCACGCCATGGCCAAGTTCGCGGGCCACATGTGGCTAGGAGACACACCTACTCCATGTTGGGCCAGCTGGGGCACTCAATCTCATCCTACCCAGCCGGTCTCGAGATCCAGAGGCATGCCCTTGGGGGACAGCGATCCTCAGGTGGGAGAAACGTGCCAGTACCTTGCTGAGGCCCGAATTCATGCCATACAGCTCGATGGGGCCCAACATGTCTACCAGCTGGTGCTTGACATTCATTGGGGTACCGACCTACCTGCATCTTTCATGGACGCTGCCGCCACTGACTAGCGGCTGATGTCGATAATCTGCGTGTCGGAAGGGTAACAAATATTTTCATGTTCTCAGGCTCAGCTGCGCAGACCACCATCGATCTGAGTCGAGATAGGACGACGTTAGTAGGCCTCACGGGGAAGGTGCATCAGCTGTCGTGCAACATCAAGCACGACGTTCCCATCTCTGTTTCTTGCTACTTCAATCCTGACCACAGGTAGAGTACCTTAACGTACTACACACATATGCACTATGCACAATGCGTGAAAGCATAAGGTACAATTGTTGATTTCTTGTGCATTGGGTGTCTGTACTTGGTTTTGGTTGTATAATTTTCAGGTTATCATTTAGTAGAAATTTGGTGTGTAGGTGTGGAGGTGGATGGGCTGATGGGGAAAGAAGCGCATTTTCGAGAGAGGAAATTACACGGTACCAACGTCTCCCTGCCAAAACGGAAGGATATTCTGGTAATTTTCATCTATGGTTGCTGCTAAATGTATATTGTCTTGAATGAGATTCATCAGATTAATGGTATGTATAACTGTGAGGTTCTGTGTTGTCTTTGTAAATTTTTCATGCGACCACTAAAATGAGGTCAACTGACTGCGTTTACTGAGAAAAAATGGGTTATTTTGCTACATTTCATGTAGAAAGAAATTCTTGTTGGGAAAGAAATGAGTATTGTTTTCTTGATCCGATATTTGGGTTGTTTCAAGCAAGTATCTTTGATACTGATGTGTGCTTATAATACTATTTATTTAGGCTTTATCTTGGGGCTATAAAAAGTGAAAACCTGTTATGAGTTACATGACTGCAAGCAAGGCATCATTTGTCAAACATACAAAGGGGATACTTCATAAAAAGATTTGAACCCCTTAAAAAATGCCTATGATGCCATTCATAACTATCGGAAAAGAAAAAATAAGTTATGCTTATTTTGAATCTTTAAGTTATATTTGTTAAGTAGTTGAAAATGACAAGTGGATATCAATATACCATTATGAAAATATAACCTTCTTCTATATAGTCAAATAAAACCATTACATGATAGAAAATAATCTAATGAAATGATTATGTAAAGTTTGGCTTATTTTACTAGACAACACCTTTTTGTGGGGCTTCTATTAATTGTTTGTATTTCTCATTTTGTTATAGTTAATATTCAGGTTGTACACTTTTACTAGACTCTTTTTGTGTAATATCAATAACACTACATTGTCTTTACATGTAGCAAAGTGTGTCATATTATATATATGGTTTATTTCCAAGAGAATGTGCATTGTCACATGTAATACTTGCCAATGGATATGTATCTTTCCTAGGTAGGTTGAACCAGTGGATATATATATATATATATATATATATATATATATATTTATAATGGTCAGAAGATGCAAAATGGTGGGGAACTATAATTAAAATTGTATTAGGGATGATTTATATTTTTTGTATTTTGGACAAACTTTTATATGTATGTCGTTTTCCTATAAATGTATAGGTCGGGGATTTGATTTTCATTTACATTAGTTAATTGGGATTTGAATGTTGTTATAAGAGTACTGGTGATATAAATCGTCGCTTTGACTATGCTTTATTCTCTCCGAAATACATCTGTCAAATGCTATTGTCCTAAAATGTGTTTTCTTCCATTTTATCACAGAAATATCTATGCAGACATGCATTCAGAAGCCATTAGATCTTCATGCTGAAATAAAATCTTCCTATAAAGATTAGAAGAAGGCCAAAGAAAAACTAAATTCTATTGAGAAAGAAAAGGAAATGGCCGTGAGTGATATGAAAGAAGTACAACTATAAGAAGCAAATGAGAAGCTGACTAATGGCCAGAAGCATGCAAAAGAAAATTTTGAGATTGAGAAGTTCGTCGATATGGACTGGAGCAGACAAGCATCGAAGCAACTCACAAGAAAGGAGGAATAGTGGAAGCTTGATACCATGAGGAACAGACAGTCAGTGGATACGACCTCCCTTTTAATTGCCACTCGGGAAGTTCAGAAGGCAACATAGGTAGTCGAGATGTTACGCGGCGCAAAGGACCAAGCAATGTGCTATGGTGAAGACCTGACAAAAATAGTCGGGGCCATGCACAAAACATTGAACTTCTTTCTGTCGAGTTGGCCCAGTTGAAATTTGCACTTGACTTCTTACATTTCAACTATATCAGTATGAATTCAATTGATTATTTCATATAAATCCAAATTTTATACTTCAATTGATTATTTCAAATAACGACAAATTTGAAGTCGATTATAGACTAAATTGGAACCGGTTGTGTGTATTTTTTTTTTACATTTATACTTGCCAAGAAAATGGGTATGTGTATTATTGACAAATATTAGTTATAATTATAGACTGGATTAGAGCCGGTTGTGCGTGCACAGCCATCCGTCCAACTAGTTTATCTTTATTATACATATAAGGCAACAACAAGGGGTTGTTCTGGGTCTGACACGTGTCATTTTCGGACAAAAAAGACCTTCAACTTTAAGTCTTTTTACTGATGTGCCACTGGTACTCTTTACACGGAATTTCCGCACAAAGCCCTTTCTTTGGTCCTTTATTTACAGTTAAGCCAACAATGTGTGTGACGGAAATTCATTTACACTCGCTGAGTTCTGTGAAATTAGTGTGGTACTTTTGGAAGACTGGTCTTCCCCACGGAAATTCTGCTGACACGGTGATTTGAGGGTTGTCCTTGGTTGGGTGAGCACCACGTTTGGCGAAATTTCTTGCCGGGAAATCTGGCTACTTCTATCACCTTTTGACCTCTGTCACTTCATCCTCTTCAACCCTAATTAATTACATCGCTGAAAATTTGAGAAACAGTAGAGAGAAAACCCAAAGCAGCTTCATCCTCTGTCCACCCAAATATCTCTTGAATGCTCCGATCAATTTTCTTCAATCTTTCAGCCATTATAGATGTTTAAAATTGATTTAATTGCCACGATTAATCCCTTGAAAACCGAGGGCGATGGTTCTAGCAGAGTTCAGTGGCGTGATGGGGATTAGGAATACGGCCGTCGTCTTTCGCCGGATACTTGAGAAGCTCTACGACACTGAACCGTCCAAGGCGAGATTGTGCTTCTCGCAGAATCGATACATTTTTCTCATTCTCCAGCCAGATGGACTTACTTTCCTTCCCCTATTGGCCAACGATATCTTCACAAGTAAGCGTCTATTACGACAAAGAATACCTTTTTTTTTTTTTTTTTAATTTACGCTTAGAATTTCAATGAAGGTTTTTGATTTTGTGGTTTGGGTTTACTGTGTTAGGCCGTGTGTGTGTGTTACAATTGTGTTCACTTGTGCCATGGATTTTTTGCAGAACAAAGTGTGTGACACTGATCACTTCTAAGATTGTGGTACCCATGTTAATCGAATTTGATTTTTTTTTTTTTTACCTTTTGTTTAAAATTTGTTTAACTCCTCTTGCATATTGAAACGAACTTACCAATTTTTCCTCTTTGTCGTTGTCACTAAATATTGTATCTCTTCGTCTTGTTATTTATAGGATTGAACTACATTTTGGATGGTAATTGTTATCCAGTTGGGAGTAGGCTAGGGAGTGGTTGTCGTTGAAGCTGCCGGGCCTGACTGTGTTGTTCCCGGAGAAGCTACACACATCAAATTACTTGGGCTTAAGGTACATTCATTTCTTTTCCTCTGGCTTTTATGAAAGTAATGTTTTCACTAGCAGTAACATTGCTAATAGTAGTAGTGTTCAGGATTTAACCGAGACGGCCAGCAGTAGTTATGCGGCAATGACCGATGCGACAAGCATGGCATACTTGCCTCAGACTGTTGTGTTGTGTGAGCACTGACATGATGCTTTCGAGGACTGCATGGCCTCGGGGCCATCGGAGAGTGGTTTAGTTTTCAAATGGAGACCTCGGGAGCGAGTGAGCTCTTGAATCCCTTGCTGATCTTTATTAGAATTTATTTGGTAAAGTTTTTTGTTTTGGTTTTCATTTTTGTTAACAACATATTCACTTAATCTTCAGTGCCTGAGTAATTTATTTGCTGTAAAATTGCAAAAATGTGGTTACGATTTAGATGTACTATATTGTGCTATAAATTGCGTTTGCTGGTGTACTTGGAGTCTAAACAAAAAGTTGATAATCATATGTATGTTGTAGTGCAAGAGATGACGTAGCAGTTGTTGTGGTGCTTGTGCTCCAACAGTATTTTGGTGATGATTTGTTATGCACTACGTGGAATGAAGATAAAAACTATTGTTTTCATTTCCAATACCAATGCATTGCTGTCATCTATTTGCTAACAAGTGATGAGTTTTGTTCTGTATATATGTGCAGCAACGTTTTAATTCGACACGCAAAAGTTCTTAATTTGAGAGCTGGAAGAAAGGCACCACAATGAATTGGTTTTATATTCCTTTTACCTTTCATTTCCCTTTTTTCTTCTTTTGCCATAAGCCCTTTTTTGACCATGATCCTAAAATTCTCTTCATGTAGTCGCCATAGTAATCTGGTTATGCCAAGTTCTGTTATTTCATAATAAAGTTAGTAACCTAAATAAAGATACTCTATCTCTGGGGGTTGAATGTGAAGTCTTGTATTCCTTTTGTCTTTCTTTCATTTTTGGTTATCTGGAAACCCGGTGATATTATTATTTGCTTTTAGTGTTACTTGAATTTAATAGTGATTGTTGACTGATGGCTGCATGAAATGGTCTCTAAATTATATTACATTTTTTATAATTGAGTATAAACGCATTTTAAAATTGCTAATGTGTAGAGAACGTAGACTTAAGGATTTAGGGAAAAAGATAAAAATGATTAAAAATCAAATGCATGTTGCTTTAAGAACCTCAAGGTATGTTTTGTTCAAATGTATAACTGAATGACTGGGGGGAGACATCTTATTATCTTAGACACTTACCATAATACCAGCTCACTATTTAATATATTTTTAATGATTATCGGAATTTTGCTAGCATGATTGGTCAAAATGCTAGAGACCGAGCAAAACCATCAGAATTAATTAATGATTATTTTATATAATAATGAGTTCCCATTATTCATGTTACTTGTGCACTTAGGGCCATGAGAGTGAACAAAAGAGGCTTATAATGGAGATGAAGAAGCTCAAGACGAACAACTACGCTGGGCTGGAAAGCAAACTAGCTGCTTTGAAGAAGTAAATTCATGATCTCGATACAAAAGTAGATTCTCAGAGGTAAGGTACATTACAATTCAGTATACTACCATAAGAGTATAAATAAACATTTTGTCAGTAAATTTTGATTGATCAAGTGTTTTTATTATAGGTGTTTTCTAGAAAATAGTGTCATGATAAGATCCAATCGGAGCTCAATAATGCCCGAAGGAAGATACAGGAATGCGATACACAGACATCACTCGCACGGAAATCGAATTTACACCCAAGATGATTCCAATGATAGGGTGTTGGATTTACATCACATGCTTTGAATGGCAGAAAATTCTTGCTGGATGCCGTATTATTTTCAGCAGAGTCGGTGTAGCCGATCCACACATGCATCCACTGTGGCAGACAACTAAACAATTTGGTGTTGTTTGCACTAACCAGATAGACAAAAAGGTTACTCATGTAGTTGCAATTCTCCTGGAACTGATAAGGTACTTCGACCATTCCTCACTAGGTTATCATAATTTAGTGGTTGCATCTTTTACTTGATGATGACGACACATTGGCTGAAATTAATATATTCTATGTTGGATAGCCATTTGATATAATCTAAAGGGATTCATGGGATTTTTAACCCTGGGATGATTTGTCGTGCATCCTGGCTGGTAAATCGAATTCACCAATTCTTCCCGTTTATTTTGACTTTACGAGTCTACTGTCACATTGAGTTTATCTCTAATAATAAATGCAGGGTCAAAGCATCGGCTTGGCTATACCGTAGGGTTAATGAGCTTGACTTTTCCATTAAACAACCATAAACGATCGACAATATTTATTTAGTAAAAATATAAAACACCACATAAATTTCCCATGTGCGCAAAGTTGGAAAATGAAAACGGTGAACTTGGAAATCATAAGTGACTTTCTCCAAAGGATATGTCAAAAATTTCACGACAACCTTCAAAAACGCTTGCTGGGAAAGGTGTTGTAATGTTAAAGGGTGAATCTAAAAGTTGTGGGATGGCCTGAAACTGAAGACGTAAATCAACTTATTGGCAGCAAAAGTTGGTGTTGGGTGCGGATTTCTAATAGTTGAATAAGATGGTAGAACTTAAAAGTGAATATGTAAGAGGAACAGTGTCAACTTACGTATCCGCCAGGTTCCAAAATTCGTGACCTTTGCTGCCGAAGGTGAAACTGCGAAGGTCCAAATGGAAACCCATAAGAAAGACCCAGTTCAAGTAGCCAAACCCAGAAATTAGGTAATATTTCCATGCCCGCCAGTTGTTTGATGTGGTGTTTGTACTGTTTTTGCCTGATAAATCCAAAAACAGTTGAGCCAAAGTGCTGTGCGGGTGATATTATTGTTGATTTTTCAATGGCCATCACCATCTGTGTTGTTTTTTGTGGTCTCTGTCCTGTTTTTTCCTTAAAAAAATGCAAATCAGCTGAGCACATCGTTCTGTACATATGTCATTCTTGTTGAATTTATTCTTGCCCACTTCCATTTATGTTGTTTGATGTGGCATTTGTCCTGCTTTGGCATGAAAAATCCAGAAATGTCTTAACAAACGGTGTTGTACAATTAACATTCTTGTTGGGCCTGCTGCAAATTGTTGAAAGTTTTCTTTCTTTGTTAAAAGTGAGTGGGTAGTGAGCCGACTGATACAATTGACCGGTCTTACCTTTTTTATGTGAACTGCTGCTTGATGTGTGAGTACTAAGTGTGAATTGTGGAGTTATTATGTGAGAGTTGTGAATGAATTTTTGAAGGTCTGATCAGTGATTACATAACTATTGTGATAAACATGATTGGTTGTGATATGACAATGGATTGTTTACTTAGTATTTGTGAAGATCGTGTATACTTTTTAAATTTTGTGCTTTCCTGTGGTGGAGAAAAAGGAATGATAATTTTTCATAGTGACGCACAAATGTGAATGATAATAGGGTCTTTTTTTTTGGAACGATAAAGATATTATATAAAATGCACAAATGTGCAAAGAGCATCCATCAACTGAATACAAGCAGCCAACAACTGAAAAAAATAGGAGGACAGGTCAAAAGATCGTCTAGAACCGACCCCAATAGGGTAATACACAAAAACACTACAAAAATCCAAGTAACATTTTTGTGTGAGTGATGAGTTTTGAAGATTGTACTGAATAAAATGAGTGCTTTATTGCACAATGGTTTCACTGAATAAAGTGGAGAATGAGTTAGAAGCGTGCTAGACCAAGCGCGACAACACGCACACACACATACACAGAAAAAGGGAAATAAAAAATAAAAAATATATTTCTTGGACGTATATGATTGGTGTCCTGCATTGGGCGAGCTAATTGAGTTATCCTTCTTTTTGCAGTTTGATACATGTAATAATTAAGGATTTTTCCATGATTCGATACATCTGAAAGCCAAGTGACACAGACATCCAAAATAACACTAATATGCGTAATTGTACTTCAAGTGGTCATAAGGATTAAGCATGCAATGTCTTCGAGATTCCATCCCTTATAAAAATGCAAACCTTCGTTTCAACAATTTTAAGACAATGAAAATTATAATTTAAGTGTTGGACAAATTTTATCAAGAGAATACTAAATTTAACGACTGGATATTGTATATAGGGTCGCGCTCAGGTGAGAATAGTTCTCAATGAAAGAAATAAGAATACATCAGAGTCATTAGATCGAATAATCTAACGACTAAAAGAATACCAATCTTTCACACTCATTAAGGGTAAATCAGTAATAATAATTCATAACATACCTAATCACCTAACAAAAATCATGGGCCCCACGTGTCCGGGCAGATAATCTCACGTGTCCTCAGACGTCGCTGACGAGAATGCCACACTGTCACACACACAAATATTCATTTAAGGAGCCATATTATTTCTTCCCCAAATTAAACCCTAAATGCCCGAATTTCACGAGCTTCTCGCCCATTTGCCGAGCTCCTCTTTCAATTTTTGAGCTTCTCATTCCGAATTACAAACCTAATTGAGTTGCTCATCCCCCATACCTCTGAAAATGTCGTTCTCTTACCATAAAATGGAAAAAAATATTATGTCATAACAAACTTAATAATTTGATTTCAAATTGATTTCTTATAGATTAATGTCAAATTATTTGAACGCAAATTTATAAATGCCATAAAATGTGGGTAACTATGTTTTAAAATTTTCACAATTATATAATAATAATTATAGACTGGACTAGGGCCGGCTGTGCGTGCACAGCCGAATCAAATCTAGTATATATATATATATATGAAGAAGTTAGAGAACTTCAAATGGTGACATGTGTCAATTTTTACGGTCCTCATATCGTGACACGTGTTGAGAAGTTTGTACAGTTGCACATGACATGTTTTGAAGTCACTGAAATACCCCTAATTTTTTTTTTTTTTTAATTGTGCAGCAAGCCACGAAAATCAAACACGCGACATTCCTGGTTTTTTGTCTTTCACGACGGCCAGAGTAAAAAAAAGCAACCCAAAATACAGCTTTTCCGTACTCATTTTGACCTTTTCAACCCTCTTCTCTCTTTTGTTAAAACACACAACCCAATCAAAATTCTGCTCATTTTTACCCGGTTCGTCTAAAAAATTTATATGTGTTCTCTGAAATCATCGATGAATTTTTAAAAGATCTCAAAGAAAAATAGCCCAATTAGCCGTCGGTTCCTCTG